TACTTTTTTCTTTTTTCTTTATTAAGAAACTGGGAATTAAGTCATCCGGGCCATGCCTCTGTCACCTGGTCAGCAAATACAATTTAGAATTAGAATCGAAATCTCTGAGTCCTTGGAAAAACTTGGTAACAATGTATTTTCTTCCAAAAGATTCAGCCCTTATCCCTGAGTTAAAGTGAGTCCAACTGGGCCACTGTGAAGGATACATGATTCTAAAAGCAAGAAGAATTAATTATACTTGAAAAGTCACTTTTATAATTTCCAGAGCATATTTGCAGTCATGTGCAGCTGAAGGCCACATTGCCCACACACTTCATAGCTCCATCTTGTGCTGTGTTTATAATTTCAGCATAAGGTTTCCCTCCTGCTTCTGATCTCATCCCCAATATCGTCTAGATTCCTTAATAGAAAAGTAACTTCTTTGGCACATTGGCAGTGAGCATATTGAATCGATCACATCAAAGAAATACTTGCAGGATGGCGTTAAGACTCTGCTCCCTTTTCACGCAAGCTGTCCGGGCAGAGCTTGGGGCCCCTGTGTAGTTTCACTGGCTTTGATCACAGGCCCTACAGCTGTAGCTGCCTGGAAGGATCAGCAGCAACCRGAGTGCGGCGAAGGCGGACGGAGACTCTTCCCCCTGCTCCTTCCTTCCAGCGTTGCTGGAAACCTGCGGATACAGCCGTAAAAGCAAATAGGAATATTCTTGTATCTATTTGGCAGGTAGACCTTTTAGTTTCTACAACATATTCCTGCCAGAAATTCTGAGGGGACATTGATTATTTAAAACTAAAACAGACTAAAAGATTTTTGTTATGTAGAATAATGGCAGTATTTCTCAAACGTGTTTTCATGCAAAACTCACAACATAAAATACACGCATACATTATTTTCTAGACTTGTTTACTACTGTAGCTATCAGTAGTTTAGATTAAAAGTAGAGAGACTATAATAAAAAAAAAAGTTTGAATGTAGAGATCTGGTGGTAAAAATTACTTTTAAAAATTAATGGTAAAAGTTAGTTTTACATGCAAATGCTTTTGATTATATGTCCCCCTCCATTTCCTAAATACTGTTGTCAGAGTACAAATGGCTACAAGTATTTTAGGTTGTTTCTGTGTGTGTGAACCACATTTCAAAGCCTGATGTTTCATGTTCAAACATTTAAAGCAGAAAGAATCAACAGAGTTGCTTGCAGAGTTTTAAGGCAGCCTCCCTGTGTGTCTGTGTCCTGATACAGCTTTCAATTACACAGGCAGGTTTTTCCCCGTGGGTTTCTTCCTTTTCCGACATCGCTAACCCACAGAATGCTGCAGCTGCTCCCCATTTCATTCTTATTTTCATCAGTAGGTGGCTCCGGGACTTATTTACTTGCATGTTCTTAACCCAAAGGCAGAGCTTTATTTTCACATAGGCTTTAAGATTTCTCATCCCAACAGGGATCTCCAGAGCGTCTAGGATTTGGCTTGTGGTACAGGAGAGCCTTCAGGATAGTTTTCAGCTTCTGTAATGTGGAAATCTTCTCAATTTCCCACTAGTCACAAGCATTCACAGTCACTCTGTGCTTTCCACTGTCAATATTAAAGGCCACAACCTTCAAACTATGAAGTGGAGAGCATAGAAATTCCCTATGGCTTCTCCTGCTCACCCGGGTGCTTGCTCTGACCCAGCACCCAAGCTGGGGAGGCGACTTGTGCTTTCCTGTCTCGGGCGGAGGGAATACGGAGGGAAGAACTGTCTGCGGCTTTCCGAGTATTTGCTGATGGAAAAGGAAGATAGAAGACGCTTGCATCCTCCTCTGGCTCCAAGGAAGGAATTCTCGAATGTTTACAGGCTCTTGCCATTGGCCATTGTAACCTGTTTTTGTCCCCGTTTCCTTTGACTGCTCAAAATGTTCTTTGGTAAGAGCATAAATGCTAATTTTTTAAATATGGAAACAGGAAGCGTACAAAAGTCTTTCATTTTAGTGAGTTAAATTACAAAGAAATAGAAGAAGTTTCTTGAGCATAGACCTAGATCAAAATATTTTTTGCATTAATTAATATTAAAAGCTTATGTTTATAGTGGAAGGGTTCATTTGAAGGAAAAATATTATTCCTAGTGATGTCATCAGCACTGTCAGCGTTTTTGGCTCTGTGTCATTCAGGAGGACATCTGGGAAGGCAGCAGGAGAAAACCTCTGTGTGGGGCAGTATGAAAGCTTAATTTTAAAAAACTAATTTGCCAAAGTCATTGTACGAGCTCTTGGAAAATATTATGGCAGAGGTGCCTTAGAAATCCCTGGTGTGATAGAAGTGCCTGAAGGGAGCAAAGGGAGCATGGGCMGGAGAAGCTCCGGCCTTCACCGCATGCTCCAATCCCCTCCAGCTGCCTGTGCTCCCTTGGGAAAATCCGCTGCCTCTGCCGGCTCTGTTGTGCTTGGGTCTGGGAGCAGCCGACAGGCTCCTTATGGCCCGGGAGCTCAGCGAGCCGCTGGGAAGGGCGTCTGCTGCCGCTGCCGTCGTGGGCCGTGCTTTAAAAGCAGAGGCTCCTGGTGCCGTTGGCTGCGACGTGCCGCTGCGTGGAGCTGGTAGGCGGCGTGCAAATGGGGGAGTGACAGCAACACTGTAGGAAAGGAGAGCTGGAGAGACGCGTCTGCTAGATGCCTTGGAAATGTCGTGTTAGCTGCGGCTTTGCTTTCCTTGCCCAGCTGAGGGGGWGCATAGGTTGGTTCTCAGGGTGGTTTCAGGCCTTTCTGTTTTCTTTTTTATTGCTTGTGGGGTTTTCTTTTAATGTTTTGGTAGATTTTGCTTTAGATCAGGGAGCCCAAGAAGGCGGTTTTAATCTCTCCTGAACAGAAGCTGCAGCCTCATATCTAAGCAGCAGGGAGAGCAGGCGGTGCGTAACCTCTGCCGTCAGCTGCAGTAACATAAACTCGCAGAAGCTCTGCTGATATCTTGTGTATACAAGTTTGGGCGGAATTTGGCTCCGTAATCAACCTTGTAACCATTAGCTCCCTATAGTTTGCAGCCAGCCCCGCTCAGCGTGTCTTTGTACAGAGCTGGCTGGTTTGGGGCGCGTGGTGCCCTGCTGTGAGGAGARGAGGGCTCTGCCAGCTCCAGCACTGGGTTTGCAGCTAGCCTAGGACATAGGGAAAAACAGAGCGCAGCTCCGGGGTGGGTATGATAATCGTGTCCTTTTAAAATAACCTTTGAAGCAGAGCCCACTGGTTTGGGAATGGGGCTGAGAGCAGTGGCAGATGAACTCGGTCTCAGTCCAGTTGCGCATCGGGAGCCAAGGCCAGGGAGTGTCACGGCAAGAACAYGTCCAGACGGAGCGTCCTCGTGGGAGGCAGGGAGGGCCGTCTCGGCACCACGTGTTCGTGAAAGAAAACACAAAAAGAAACGTATATACCCTCCGTTTTACAGGACTGCTCAAAAAGTGGCTTGCGTAGGTTAGTGGTGCACACCAACGTGCTTCTCGATGGGTTAGTTCACATGCGTTTTTATATTATTCTTGGCAAAATGTGCATGGGGGTGTATACGCCTGTGTAAAGACATACAGCTGTGCAATATACAATATATTGGGTCTGTAGCTTTATGYATCTCTGTGTGCATGTGTGTAAGTATGCTTTCATCTGTGTTGTTATACTTAGAACTGCATGTAAGAAGAAAGGTTCATCTCAGCAAACGCCGTCTGTACAAGGCCCTCTTTGTTTCTAGCTGGAGGTTGGTTTTGCTCCCGTTTTCCTTCTAGGTGTTTAAATTAAATGCAAATCAGCAGCTCGTTTAAAGGGCTAAAGATGAAATGCAGCCAAAGAACAAGTTAGAAGAAATATCCCAGTTAGAAACTTTTTGTGGATTCGAGGGATAATAACTTAGCAGGATTCTTGTTAAGCTTTGGAGGGATTTAAAGCTGTGCCTAGGTGACCTTGCCTTTTTGCTGTATTTAAAAAGGTTGGTAATCTCACAAGCAGAACAAGTGATCATGCAAAGCAGATAGAGGCAGGTAGACAGAATCACAGAAAAAAAATCTGTGCTCATTCTTAAACTTTTCTGAAACGTTATTCCACAGCGCAGTGCTCTGTGTCAACCGCCTCGTCGTTGTTCTGGAGCCAGCATTATTTTACCAAACCCAGCCATGGTGGCATTTATGTCTCTGTCTGTGAGCAGCCTCTTTGCATATGATGTTGTCGTGATTCTTGTGAACTCCCTGTGATTTACGGGGAGTATCTGATAGGAGCCGCCTCTTATCGTTGATGGGTTACRTTGCACACATCCAGCTAGAACTCCCTCTGCTATATTGTTTTACCAGCTTTTTATTATTTCCTCTTACCATTACAGATAGGTAAAAACGGAAGCCGTCATCTTTTAAATGTGCTTTCTCTTCTTATCTGGTTCACTTAAACCTCTCCATTGGCAACTGGAGTAGATGAATCACGTTTAAGTTCCTTTAAGAGCAATTGCTGATTTAGCCGGCTTGTGTAGACTTCAGATAAATTTTATTTCAGTTTCACCTAAAAATTTGCCCACTGTTTAAGCCCTGTGTGCATTTTATACTTTGTGGTTTTAACATAGTTAGGCCTCATTACAGCCTTTAAAGGAGCACTTTTAGCAATATATAAAACAAGTTTAAACATAGTTCTCAAACTTGGTTTTAAAGCCAATGTAAATGARGTCTTGTAATGCCACATTCCAGGAATTCTGACATCAGAGGAATATCTACAGTAATAAATTTTCATATTAAAGCTGCTGGATTTTTATATGCCTGAAAGAAGCAAACTGGAGCCTGATGTGGAGAAGTAATAGGCTAAGCATTCAGGGCACTAACATTTCTTTCTTCATGAAYAACTTCTTTGCTGTCTGGAAGATAATTGTGACGTATAAATTTTGATACAAGAAAATGATGTTTCTTTAAAAAAAGAAAACTTCAGAAAAAGTTTGCATCCCTCATTGTTCCATGCTACAGGGTCCTGATTCTTTTGAATTTACGATTAAAGAGTCTTGGTGTTGTTTTCTTTCAGATTCTTCTCATTCCTTCCATCGAGATGAGACTATAGTTATTGCCCTCGCGTCTGTGTCCGTGCTGGCCGTGCTGATTGCGGCGCTCTTCTTTGGATACCGGATGCTTGCAGGTACTGTGTGGGGATGCTGCCTTTTATATTATTCCTTTTACTCAATGTTGTGCTTAGAACTTCTACCCCAGTGCCCATTGTATGCAAATATGCAGTGTTCCCCATCTCCTCTCTGGCATTTCCTGGCCACATATCCCTTTCATAACAGCCGAGAGAGGTTTATTAGTAAATGGGTCTAGAGGACCCATTTCTCTTSAACAAATCCTCCGTTCCCCGCAGGCAGTTGGGACTGCTGAGACTCTACTTTACAGTTATTGCCAGTGACATTCAATAACCTAAGCAGCAGATAGCCCTCGCGTCCTGSCCCCAGTGCCTCCGCTGCTGCTTTTACTGCCTCCGAGAGGGTTTTACAGGATTCCTTTCTAGTTGTCCTGCCCTTCCCTAGGAAGAGTGTTCCCAGCAGATTCCAGGTGAGCTTTACTGTTTTCATGTGTTGTTTGGCAAACCCCTGAACCTGCCTGCATCCCCCTGCCTTACAGGAGACCGCAAGCAGGGTTTGCACAGCATGAACATGATGGAGGCGGCCACATCGGAGCCCTCGCTGGATCTCGATAACCTGAAGTTACTGGAGGTAAATGTTCAGCTCGCTTTCTCAATCCTACCACTGAGTGTAGCAGCTGCCATCGCAGGGCTTGCCAGATTAGAATTACAGGAATAAATATATCCTTAATGTTCTAATGTTTTCTTCGAAGCTTTAGTTAGGAAAACAAATCAAACGCAACAAAACCCAAGGCAAAACAGACTTGCTGAGTTGCTTTGCCTATTTGTGCCAGCAGTGCTGCAGGTGTCAGCTTGACTGTGCTCTGCAGCGCTCTGGGTGCTGGGGGAAGGRGGCTGTGTTTCAGTGTTGCGTGAGGAACCCTCTGTGTTTGGCATGGGGGGCTCCACAAATGCAGTGCCCTGCGGTGGTCGGCACGTGCAGGAGCACGGACGGCACCACAGGTGAGGGCAGAGTGTTTCCCTGGCCCTGCGTTTGYGAGTGCCACTTGTCACCCTCTGGTACTGTCTCTCGTCAGGGCTGCTACAGGCCAACCACAGAGCTCAGGCTGCAGCATTTCGTGTCCCCAAGGGGCATGCAGAACTTGCATTTTAAAAGCTTTTAGTCAAGAATCAATAGCAATGGGGTGAGGTGTTTGTGAGTGGGATGCAGAGGATGGCACCTTTCTTCCTTTTGCCCCTCCAAAGTCATCCCYAGAGACACAGGCCACAGAAAAGTCGTCCCCCCGCTGCGACACACGCTGCAGAACTGTGCAGATCCCCAGGTGCAGTTATTGCTGCCCAGGGCTGGACAGGGCTCTGCTGGAGGTCCCGTGCAGGCTCTGCGCTGCCCTTTCTCAGACGTGCAGCACCGCTCTGGGCCCTCACACTGCGCTGTGGGGCCAGCTGCCTTTCTCTGAGTCTGCCTTCTCGTGTCTGTGCGTGTAGTATGTTCTGTCTTTACACCGTGAGGTGGCTCGCTGCCTCCTTGCAGTCCCCTGCAAGGGGTGCCTGGTGTGGAAAGAAGGAGAAGCAAGAAGTTTGGCTGTCAAATGATGCTTTCCTGTAGATGTTTTTATCATCTTTAGCGGCGTTAATTTATAACTTTATCCTTTCCCTTTCCTTTATCCTTTCCTTTCTACTCCAATTGTAAGTATTTTAAAAAGATGTTTGTCCAGGAAATCGCTGTGATTTCGTGTCAAGGTTCTTGTGTCAGTGTTTGAAGTGACTAAACCCTTAAGTCCTCGTGAAGTGGGATTTTTTTCCAGCTTTCAAAGCTAGGACTGTGCCCTGCGTTCAGGGTCAGAGCAGGGAGCCTATCCATCTCGGTTGCCAGGGAGATGGGAAAGGTTTTTCTGTGACAAGGCTCTGACAGGGTGGGCTCTAGACTGAAGGTTCCCGGGTAGCACAGAACGATTCCTGTCCGTAACAGACCTGTGTGTCTCTTTTGCTCTTTATTCTGCACTGCAAATGCGTGTATTACTACTATTACTATCCTAGAACATATCTAGTATTCAGTTTAATACCTGTGATCTCGGGCATAAATCAAGGCTGGTCATGTAAAAGCTCAAAAATATTTGGTAGGCAGAAGCTGAGTAAGGGAGTTGTCAGCGCAAGACAAATCACAGATTTTGCTCATTCTGCCTACAAAGTTGCTTAAGAGATKATTTATGATTTATTAATTGAATATTTGAACTGTAGATCAGTTTAGTAAGATCTCATTTGGCCTGTCTTAGTATTTCCAGTTCCGAAACAGCTCTTCTGACAGTATTTTACCTCTGGCTTTCAGTACAAAATATTAACCATTTTGTGCAGTGTAATGCAGCATAGAAGTCAGCATATATTCCTTGTGGAGTGAAAACTTTGATCTTTGTCTTCATTTATTAGTTAGTGAACTAATAATTTTCTTTTCTTTTGTTTTCTTGCAGTTGATTGGCCGGGGACGATACGGAGCAGTGTATAAAGGCTCCCTGGATGAGCGCCCCGTTGCTGTGAAGGTTTTTTCTTTTGCTAATCGCCAGAACTTCGTCAATGAGAGGAACATCTACAGAGTTCCCCTGATGGAGCATGACAACATTGCCCGCTTCATYGTGGGAGATGAAAGGTTCACTGCAGATGGGCGTATGGAATATTTATTGGTGATGGAATATTACCCCAACGTAAGTGCATCCAACAAAAGAAGATAGGTTTAGTTTCCTAAGAGTAGCTGGATAGAAAGGTTAGACTTTATTACTTGCCACCTGTTTTTCATTAGTTCTTTTTGCAAAGTAGTTATCTTTGCCTCGTGTAATGTCAYGATTATCCATATAAATTATTATTGTTTTCAAGCTATTTATTTTGTCCTATAAATCACTTGTTTTTTATCCTGTTATCTTTCTTCAAGTGTTCTGCGACATAGCCTACTTATTCTACTACATCAGGTACTGATGATAAAGGAGAAGTCTCGGGCAGTCTTACTTCCAACAGATGCTCCTTGTGCTCCTTTTCACAGCTCCTTGCCTTTACATCCTCAAATTCACTGACCCCCCTTGGGAGCTCTGCACAGGTGCACACACACGTGCATTGAAGCAGAAGTTGTTTAAAATGCACAACATTCATGTGAACTGCTTGTCATGAAAAATCATAAAATGACAAGTATATGTGTGAATACATAAATATGCATGCATTCATTTTATACTTCTGCATTTCATAGTTTTTTTAATAGAAAATGACTTTATCTTTTCAGTTAAATCATCTTTACTACTTTGTTTTTTCTCAGCTAAATGAGCTTGTGTTGTATTGACTCCAGTGTATGAAATGATTGGCAGAAGCTTGATTTGTTACAGAGACAACTGGACAAAAACTTCTCAATCAAGTAGCAAAAATAATCAGAGTAGTAATAAATAGCAGCAGTGATCGCCTCTCTCAAGATGCTCAAGATATATGTGTGYACTGAAAGTTAAATATATATACTTATAGCTGTATGTCGATAAAAATTTCAGATGACGACATAACACTAGAAGATAATGTAAAAAGTATCTTAACTGAATCTTAGGTATCTTAACCTTTTTGAARTGAAAACACAGTTGAAAAAGCAGTGTCATTTTATAAGAGACAGACATCCCAGAGGAGRCTGCAGAACCTAGAAGGGGCCATGGAAAAGCTCGATCACACACGCGCTGTAGGTGCRGTAGCAAAGAACCTCAGCTCCGACTACAGATGCAAAAATAACCCCCCTCACGCTGGCTTATTTTAGAAATAAGATTAAAATAAGTAAGCCAGCGATAATAAATAAGCCAGCCAATAAATAAGATTAGAAAAATCCGAACTGTGCAACTATCTAAACGACTTCAGGCCAGTGGAAGTAGCAGCACTGACAGGGAGGATGTGAATAAGCAGTGGGGATAAGTCACAGAGTAGTTGCAAAAGACCTGAGAGTCACACATTTGTTCCCCAGCAGGCAGAYGTTCCTGTCTTTTAAGAACAATTAAAAATCAGTTAAACATATAGTAGAATATTACAGTTGTCAAAACAAAACTGTCAATTTTATCAAAAGTCATTATCAAAGGGAACAAGTATCTTTGATTTAATGTGTAATTCGTGACTGACAAGAATAATCTCGGTTAAAAATATGTATCTATAAATCCTGACTGTGACTTTTCCTGAATTTCATTTATATTGAATTTCAATAAGAGCATGAAAATCACTGTCAGCAGCCAGTTCTTAGATGAAAACTGAGAACAGATTCTCAGTTTTCTTAATAAAAATATGCTGCAAATGTTACACGTTGTGGTATCTTTAAGGTTTCATATTTAAATAGCGGATAGCCTGTACTCATAAATAAACATGGTATTGTATTTTTACAGAGAAGGTGGAACTTCTTAAGCGTTATACATAAGGGCTTTATTGAGTCTATTGTTGCTGGTGGCTACGTACATAACAACTGCAGGGAACGCTGCAGTGTGCAGCATCTGATTCTGATTTGAGATGGTAGTTTGAGTTTCTAGAACATTTCAGCATCATAACTGGCATCTTTCTCTCTGCTTTTCTTGGAGAGTCTTCTCCAACTTACCAAAAACTTATTTTCACATAAARCTTTTCTTCCAAGAAAGGGGGAACGTGACAGCTTTTCCCTTTTTCTTCAATGCATGTGGACAGTCTTTTGTTTTGAATTGTCTAGGTTGTTTTGTTTTGTTCTKTACTTTGCTAACTAACTACATTAGAGCAGGGGAGGTGCCAGTGAGAGGCRGTGGGTTTTCTGCTACTGGTTCCAAGCCCACTGCTGGTAAACCTGCAGTTACCTTTCTTCTTCTGTTGTTCAGCTACGGTTTCTTTGAAGGAAAAAATAAAATAATCATTTTTCTGTTGCATTATGACTAATACCATTCCTCAWAGAGGGAAGGCATGTTATTTTTCAATAAATAGTACATTTTCTGTTCTTCTTCATACAAAGTGAGTGACAGTACTAAAGACTGGTGAAACTTGTGCTTGAGCTTGTGGTTGACAACTCTTGGGTAAACACAGACACGGTTGCAGGGTTCGATCTTTCAGGAGCAAGTGAAACTGCATTTTTAAAAAATTTTGGGTTGTTGAAGATTTTAATCCAGTGTTTTTTGTTTTAGGGCTCTTTATGCAAGTATCTGAGTCTCCACACGAGCGACTGGGTGAGCTCTTGTCGCTTGGCCCATTCTATTACGAGGGGCTTGGCCTACCTGCACACGGAGCTGCCCCGCGGAGGTAAGGCCGGAGGGAGACCGCGTGGTCCACTGTGCTCTGCCACCATCCTGACGTCCTCTGCCGTTTGGTGGTGCTGGAATCATAGAATCCTTAAGGTTGGAAGATGTTGTCCTTTAGACGTCATCTAGTCCAACCTTCCCTGCACACGCAGGGTCACCTAGAGCACATGGCACAGGATTGTGTCCAAGCGGGTTTTGAAGATCTCTGCAGRAGCAGATTCCGCAACCTTCCTGGGCAGCCTGTTCCAGTTCCTGTGGAACTTTTGGTGCTTCAGTTTGTGGCCGTCTCCTCTAGTTCTGTCAGAGGCCACCACTGAAAAGAGGCCGCCCCATCTTCCTCACTGCCTCCCTTGAGGTATTTATAGGCACTGATCAGGTCCCCCCTCAGCCTCCTCTTCTCCAGGCTGAACAKGCCCAGCTCTCTCAGCCTTTCCTCACAGGGCAGATGTTCCAGGCCACACATCATCCTCAGAGCCCTGCGCTGGACTCTCTCCAGCAGCTCCACATCCCTCTTCTAGAAAGGGTGAATTTCATGTAGAAATGGTGAATTAAGATAGAGATTGCTCAGAACCTCTTGTGCAAACCACACATACCAAAAGAAATTGCTTAATCTGCCGCACTAGTTTCGTCACAACTCTTCATTTCTGTCTGAGGGGGTGGACCTCATCTCCTCCAGTGACCAACGACACTGCTGAATTTTCAGTGCCTTAAGAGCACTAGCTGTAGCCACACGGATTTATATCTCTGCTTGCCTGCTTCATTCAGGAGCAACTGTGATTGTGTGGCAGATATTCTGTGATCTCTGATGTAACAAGCTATAGAACATGGCCTGGTACTGAAGCATTAGTGTTCTGGCAGAAAGGAAAGGAATAATTAGCATAGTAGCATGAATTCTACAGTAAGGTCCTAAAGTCTGAATTAAAATCCCCAATTTTATATGTCAAGTATGAAGCATCATCTCTGGCACAGACTGAAAACTGGAGATCCTGTTAAAAGAGCAAGGCTGATGCGAGCCGGTGTTGCACTCCTGTGTGCCATGCAGACAGCAGCTTTTGTCTTAACGTGCTCATTGTGCAATGTGCAGCCAGGTGTGTCCATTAGCAGCCAGAAACCGCCTGCCCTTTCCATCCCAAAGGAAGATGGAGCCATAAACTGGACTATAAAGACTAGGAAGGAACCCAGGGAGTAAATTCTTGAGAACAGTAACCAGCTTTATAGTCCTCGCTGGTTTACTTTACAAAAACAAAACAGCTCTATCAAAAAAGCATTTAAACTAGGACAACTGAGATTKTTCTGTGGAGGTCAAATGCACTGCAAGGTTAGCGTGTTCAAGCTCTCAGGAATAATATTGACTGCGTATCTTGTGAGTACATGCCAGGCACTATCACAATGTCAACAGCTGTAAAAAGCCTCCTTTGACACAGGTCTGTGCACGTGAGGGAGCACACGGGGCCTGGCTGGCCAGGCTGTGGCAGCAGGCTTGTATTTGAGCACATACTTTTTCCTGTGATTTTGCATGATACTTCAGCATGATGTTCCATGCTGAAATATCTTCTGGACGTGAAAGCAGCTTGTTGGTGAACACTCAAACTGATAKATGGTATTAATACAGTCAGTTTTTTATACATAGCGTACTGTGATGCTCATAAAGAAGCAAAAATGTCAGCTTTCTGAAAAGAATAGGTTGATTTTCTGTTTATAGTAAGTGTGCAGACACAACAAGGGTCTCTTATTTTGCCAAACGGTGCAGCTGCTCAAATAACGAGCCCTTTCCCATGTCCAAACAGACCATTACAAACCTGCCATATCCCACCGTGACCTGAACAGCCGCAACGTGCTGGTGAAGAACGACGGCACGTGCGTCATCAGTGACTTTGGGCTCTCCATGAAGCTCACTGGGAACAGGCTGGTGCGCCCCGGCGAGGAAGACAACGCGGCCATTAGCGAGGTAAGTGCCCATATAGATCAGCTGCTCTGCAAAGGGAGAAAAATGGGAAAAATGAGAGTGGAAGTAAGGTGGATGCTTGCTCGTCGCTGTGGTCGCAAGGTGGYACAATTCCTGTTGGGAGGGCGGATTGCTGCAAGATGGGGAGAAGTGACTGAAGCCTTGAAAAGGGTGAGACCGGTTCTTATGTCAAAAAACTTGAATGCAAATCCAGCATTATTGAAAGGTGACAGAGCTGCTGTTCTGGCACACTGAAGCACTCTGCATCAGGAATTGGTTGCAGTGCCGAGGATACAAATTCCTTCGCTCTTGTACTGAAGATATTAAGTCCAAACATTCTTCTCTTTGGAAAGTCTTTTTATTTTCCTTTTTTTCTTTTTTTTCTCGTTTTTCCCCTAAATGGTGCCATATTGCATTCCATGTTTTGTGACTGTTTCTGTAGATGTCATCTGTAATTTCCTGGATGTGAAATGGGTGCACCTGGGGGAACGAAAGCATGCGAAAGACACAGACCAACTGAGAAGGAACCAGAATAGAATCAAAGGAGGTGCTTGAAAATGTGACCTAGAAGAAAAGATTGAAAGAATTAGGGTTGTTTAGTCTAGTGTAGTAAAGACAGAGCCAAGGCTTCAAATATGTAAACAGCTGCCACAAAGAGAAGGAATAAACTGTTCATATTTACTGTGGATAGGACAAGAGATAATGGGATTACGTTGCAGAAGGGAAAAATTAGGTTATATATGAAGAAATCTTTCTGGCCTGTGCCAGGGCAGTGAAGCTCTGCAATAGATTGCCAAGGAAGGCTATAGAATTTGCAAGATTTTATGATTTTTAACAGCAGATGGGAAAAACAGCCCTCAGGAGTGCAAATAGGTACCTGGACAGAAAGAAGTTTTGGGGCTTGTGTTTTTATGATGCTGTGATTCAGAGAGGGCTGCTTTGTTGGTTTATGTTTGTATATGTCTAAATATAGGTACTAAACTTCAGTGAGACTACTGTAAATGAAGTTAAGTCCCAGAACGCATCAGCGTATCTGTCTTCTTTCTGCTCTTAGCATGCMATCTTTTACATTTCATTCAGAGAATGTGTTGCCCAGTTCTAACAGCTTCCCTTAGAGAAGAAGAGTTTCGGGGATGCTTCCCAGCCCAGAGGAGCCCTTGCCCTGTMCCCCCTCGCTGAAGGAAAGGATACGAGGCTGAGAACGCAGAGCGGTGCTGTGACCTGTCCTGCAAGGAGTGGGGAAGGAGAGCTCAACTCTGCCCATTCCCCAGGGGAAATGAGCATGGGCTCATTTAGTGCTTCCAATAACCTGTAAACCTGGAAGAGGTAGGAGAGAGCCAGGCCAACAGTCCGGGGTTAAAGAGAACAAATGCCTTGTTCAGCTGCGGCCTCCCCTCCTATGGTATGTGCTTTCACATAGGATGGGTAATTTCAGGAAACAAAAACAAAAAAAAMCATTTCTGCTATATTCAGAACGTATATGTGAGGACATTGTGTAAGGGGCAAATTTATTATTTTRTTTAGGTGCAAGCAATATGTGACAAAGCACAGAAAGGGTTTTATTATGGCTAGACAACTGATAAAGAGTCTGGAAGCTGAGGACATTGATTAGAAGAGAACGGCGTTTTCTGGTGAAGTGTAGAAAACATGAAGCTGGGTATAAATAAAAACTGTAATAAACCAAACACCATGAAGGATTTGCTTCCTGATTTGAAACTTTGATTTTACATTTTTCCAGGTTGGTACGATCCGCTATATGGCCCCAGAAGTGCTGGAGGGAGCAGTGAACCTGCGGGACTGTGAGTCTGCCTTGAAGCAAGTGGATATGTAYGCGCTGGGGCTCATCTACTGGGAGATATTTATGAGATGCACAGACCTCTTCCCAGGTAAACGAAAGAAGCAGGAAAGAAAGTACTAGTAGGAAACAGTATCATCAACCAAAGTTAATCCCTGCCCAAGCGAATCCTTCATAAAAGTGAATCCTTCATAGAAAGGAAGTGATTTTCACAATTGCTTTTCACCATTAGGTCAGTGCCATCTAGTGTTCAAAGTAGTGTTGTCAGCAGGAAATAACGGACTCGATGGCTTCTCAGCCTCGTGATCATGTGAGCTGAGCACCGTCATCAGCGGCCAGAGTTCATGTTAGTGACATTGAAAATGCAGGGAAATCCACATCTGCAGCATAAAACAGGAGGAATTAAAGGGGGAAAGATTGATACATGAGAAAGTGCCATAATGACCCTTTTGTCCCTGAGATGTAACCTGAGGAGTTAGTAGTCTGACATGCTGTATCCCTCTGCTGTCACACAGCTGTGTCTTACCTGCTGGGTCTTGGAAAGGCTTTGGGTCTCCTCCCAGATGAAGCATGTGTGTATTTTTGGTCTGCAGTGTTCCAGAAAATTAGGTGTCATCTTCAGCTTCCAAGCTATTCTCAATGTGCCACTCAACCAGCAAGGCTTTAGGACRCTGTCCTTAGAGAGGCTCCTAACCAACACTTAATTCAGCTTCCTTTATGAGGCCAGGCTTTGGAGAAAATGGAGAACATCCTGCTAGACAACAACTTCGTTCTTGCCTTCAATCACCCCATACCCCTTGTTCTGCTTTTTGCTTTATATATTTATTTTTTAAGCTGTGGGGTTTTTTTCCTCTCTTTTGCTACCAGGGGAATCTGTGCCAGAGTACCAGATGGCGTTCCAGACAGAAGTTGGAAACCATCCCACTTTTGAAGATATGCAAGTCTTGGTGTCTAGGGAGAAGCAAAGACCAAAATTCCCAGAAGCCTGGAAAGAAAACAGCCTGGTGAGATAGAATGTTTACAAAGAAACACGGGGTTAGCCAGCTATAAGGTGCTCTCCTTTCCTAAAAGCAAATCTTTAGGATATTTTTTCATGTAATTTTTGTTGGTATTTAAGGACGGTGAGCTGTTTCTGTCCGGACTTCTTAAGTATTGAACTTGGTTTTAAAAAGCCAGTGAAATGTGTTTCTTTTAAGGAAAAACACTGTGATTTTTATGAGATTTTGAAGTGTGATAGGTTGAAGTTCACTTGTTTTAATTTGCACATAGTGTCTGTAGTACTATGCATAAAGTGCCCACATRTCCTCTCTAAAGCCAATGAGAAAAACAAAGGTATTTTCAGTCCTTTGTTGGACTACATTAGTCTACATTAATTCTATAAACTACCTACGTTAGTTTGCAAAAATGTGATTATACTCCTCCAAAAATGAAATTTCATCAACATTACCGTGAACTTCCTGAAGATGTCTATTCCTCAGGATCTGCAGAGCCTGTAATTTCCAGCAAGAGTAGTATTCTAACTGCATCAGGCCTTTTGCCTGGCTTCATTTGATGTGCAAGCTCTATTTCCAAAGCTGCCGGCGCCCCGTGTTTGTTTGGAATTAGCCGAGGCAGGGCGAGCGCCCTGCCCACAGGCCGGCAGGTTCCTGCAGGTCGGCGGCGCCGCTTCCCTCGCAGCGAGCGCCGGGTGCCGCCCCRGCCCTGCGGCCTTCGCGCCTCCCCTGCAAGCGGAGCCCGAAGCAGACGGACACAGCACTGGCTGGGACCTGCTACGTCATCTAGGCTGAAATAGCCTGATTACAAGTTAAAGGGATTCTTCTAGTTACTCCTCCTCTGAAATTATGGCCATCAACCTTCAGAGCCTTTACTAGTCGATAGGTTTGTAGCTGCTGTGCAGATAATGGGGAGCCTGAGGCCTCATCTGTGCTGGTACTTGTAAATATGTATGAAACCATTTTCAGAGAGGAGCGTAGCCTCCAGTGTTAGTGCTGTTATAAAACATGTTTTAACCGAGTTGAAAGCTTCACGGAGAGCCTCTTTTATTGCGCAGCTTTGGCCAGCCAATCCTAAAGAAGTCCACACCCAAAATGCAGGAATTCAAGCAGCTGCTGCTGTAGCTGCAGCCGCGCTGGCAGACACAGGGCTGGGAGAACCCGGCTCGACAGCTGTTGGTGAAGACGGTCACAACTAGAGCAGTTCAAGAAGGTTTTGCTCTGCGACTTGCACTTGAAACGTTTATTGTGCTCCGACGGGTTGTGGCCTCCAGTGTGATTAGACACTGAGCTAGAGTGATCCCCGTATTTAAGCTGCGTAACAGTTCTGTGTGTTGTCCGTAGCGTTTTGGCAAAAATCCAAAATAATATTTTAAAAAGAATGTAGTGCTCTAAGGATGGATGTGCAGCAGTGCTCAGAGAGCAGGGGGATGAAGTAGTCGTGTCATGGATACAGGTGACCAACCCGCTCCACCCTCTGCGAGCTAGGGCTGATCCCGGGGGAAATGCTGTGGGGAGCAGCACGGAACCGGAGAGAACCGGAGCCGGGACCCAGCTCCTAGCCTTGGCACCAGCGCAGGGGTGAAAGCTGCTCCTGGCTGTCCCGGCACAGGGGAGCCGGGCGGATCTGTCCCCTTCTGAGCGCCCCGGCTGCCAGTGCAGAGGCTGGAGCCAGGACAACGCGGCACGTCCTGGCAGCTGGTGTCCCGCCGTGGGCCGCTGAGCCGCGGTGGGACGATGAATGTCTGGCCCTTGGGGACACTTGGGGTGCACTGCAGTGGAAGTGCTCAGGGCTCTCGTAGCCCCAGGGCTCTCTGCTCCAGGTGTCCGACCATGTGGCTGGAAACCATGTGGGGGTGTTGAGCTCTAGCCCTGACTGCAGCAGGCACGCACAGTGTGGGAAAGGGTCCGTGTTTCCGCACGTGGAAGGCGAGGGCAGCAGTTGTGTTCCCGCAGTGCAGACAAGTGCACTGAGGTTTGAGAGGCGCTTGGTGCAACCACAGCGCACGGGAGAAGAAGGGGCCACGACAGGAGCAGGGCTGCGTGTGGGCAAGACAGGAGCGCCCGCCACGCGGAGCGTCGGGCAACCATGGCCTTCCCAGAGTGTCATCGACCCCCTGTGTGTGGCGGGGTGGCCACACACGCATCCACGAGGGTATTTTCCTAAATAATGATCTTCCCACCTTGTGTGTGTGACATGATGGTGTTAATCCTGCATATTGCTATTACTAGGATAAACTGGCTGTGAATTACATTATGTTGTGTATCTCACATTTGTCACCTTGGAACCGTTTCCATGTGTACGGAATGTTGTCATGAGACAGTAAATTAGAAGCCCGATGCAAAGGGGAAATAATGCAAGACATTGTTTTTTCCTCGGCAGGCTGTGAGGTCACTCAAAGAGACCATTGAAGACTGTTGGGATCAAGATGCTGAAGCGCGGCTGACAGCGCAGTGCGCTGAGGAGAGGATGGCAGAGCTCATGATGATCTGGGAGAGGAACAAGTCGGTTAGCCCGACGGTCAACCCCATGTCAACTGCCATGCAAAACGAGCGGTGAGAAGCAAAGCCCCCGTTCGCGTGAGCCGGGCGGGTGCAGCGCGGCTGGCTCCAGCAGGCAGCTCCTAGCGGGACGGTAGCGCTGTGAGCTGGTCTGCCCCGGTGTGTTGGTAACGGTAAAGCGATGCTGCCTGCTCCATTTTACATGAGGAGTTCGGAGATGGGAACATCCCCAGAATTCGCCTTGTAGGGAAACTGGACTTATCCCAGAGGGGCTTTCTGACTGAACAAGCAGGCTTACGCAGGCAGACAGGAGGTCATCTGGAACAGTTGTTAAAGTCTCTTGCTGTATGATGTGTAAAACTTCTATTTCAAACTTAGCTAGTAACAGCTGCACATGTTCAGGAGATACTAGTTCAGGAAGTCACCAGGTCTCAGCCCTGCAGCTTTTCAGTTGAAGAACCACAAGGCCAACGTTTCAGCTGCTGTTAKTCTGACCCCAGCAGGAGAGAGGCTGCACGTTCCGCTCTCTGTTCATAAGTTATCTAGAGAGAAGGAAAATTAGCTCAACTGACACTAATACTTAGCATATACCAGAGATCTGGATTTGAGAGAAGAGGAATATTTTGTACAAGGCAGTAAGTCTTGTTATTAAGAAATTTTGTTCAAAACAYGGCACACTTAAATTATGAAAATGATGGATTTTCAGAGTTTGGAACCTTGAGACCTTTCCTAGGATCACTTTCTCTATCCTGTAGAGTTCTTGTGGTTTCAAGTTCTCCTGCAGTTTCACTTCTCTGCAGTGCTAGACTCTAGTGCCTTAGCAGTGATCTGCTAAGACAGTGTTTTGGGCAAATAAAAGATTAATAATCTCTGATTTAAGTGTATAAATAGCACTCATGATAAAAATTTCTATCCTACTAAAACAATTTTCTCCTGCCCAAAATTTTTCTAGGAAATTACAGAAAGATCTCAGTTTGAACTGTATCTGTCCCTAGATTACGCATGAAAAGAAACGGAAAGACATTCAGCTTTCTTAATTRAGAAGCTTTATAAAGTAAGGTGATAATTACGTATGTGGTCTTAATATCCCTTATTTTYCCTTAAAGGAATCTCTCGCATCACAGGCGTGTGTCCAAGATAAGGCCATATCCAGATTACTCCTCTTCCTCCTACATCGAGGACTCCATGCACCACACGGACAGCATAGTGAAGAACATTTCCTCTGAGCATTCAATGTCCACGACGCCGCTGACTTCGGGGGAGAAGAACAGAAACTCCATTAACTACGAGCGGCAGCAAGCCCAGGCTCGCATCCCCAGCCCCGAGACCAGCGTCACCAGCTTGTCCACCAACACCACCACCACCAACACCACCGGCCTCACGCCCAGCACTGGCATGACCACCATATCGGAGATGCCTTACTCAGATGAAACCAACTTGCACCCTGCAAACGTCATGCAGCCGGGGGGGCCCACCCCGGTTTGTCTGCAGCTAACGGAGGAGGACCTGGAGACCAACAAACTGGATCCAAAGGAAGTGGACAAGAACCTGAAGGAGAGCTCTGATGAGAACCTGATGGAGCATTCCCTCAAGCAGTTTAGCGGGCCAGATCCACTCAGCAGCACGAGTTCCAGCTTGCTCTACCCACTCATAAAACTCGCTGTGGAGGTGACAGGGCAGCAGGACTTCACGCAAACTGGCAATGGTCAAGCGTGTTTGATTCCTGATGTCCCATCTGCTCAGGTCTATCCTCTCCCCAAGCAACAAAACCTTCCGAAGAGGCCGACTACCCTTCCTTTAAACGCTAAAAATTCGACGAAGGAGCCACGGTTAAAGTTCGGTGGCAAGCACAAATCAAACTTGAAGCAAGTGGAAACGGGAGTGGCCAAGATGAACACGATCAACGCGGCCGAGCCTCACGTGGTGACAGTCACCATGAACGGCGTGGCTGGCAGAAGCCACGGCCTGAACTCTCACGCTGGCACGGCCCCCTACGCGAACGGGACGGTGCCCTCGGGCCAGACGAGCAGCTCCGTCGCGCAGAGGGCCCAGGAGATGCTTCAGAACCAGTTCAGCGGGGAGGATAGTCGGCTGAATATCAACTCGAGCCCCGACGAGCACGAGCCCCTGTTGAGGCGGGAGCAGCAGGTTGGCCACGACGAGGGCGTCCTGGACCGCTTGGTGGACAGGAGGGAGCGTCCGCTGGATAAYGGCCGAACGAATGCCAACAACAACAACAGCAATCCGGGCCCGGCGCAAGACGCGGCTGCGCTCGGCGTCCAGAGCGTAGCAAGAAACCCCGGGCAGAGCCAGCCTAGAAGAGCACAGAGGCCCAACTCACTGGATCTGTCGGCCGCCAGCAGTTTGGATAGCAGTAGTGTGCAGTGTAAGTGCCGGCAGGGCGTCAGCACCTGCTCTGACCGTTTTTTACTCAAAGACTAACTACTTTTATCTACTCCTGTATCCCCTTCCCTCCTCAGAGCATGCCTACTGAATCCCGTGTAAGTTTAATTTCCACCAAGGCAATGTCAGTCTTCTCAGTTGAGGGCTGCYTTCTGTCTCTGTCACCTTTAGAACGTGAGGCCGCTCTTCCTGCCCCGTGCCTGGGACGCCGTCCCATGCTCACCCACCTGCTCTGGCCCTAGACACGCGCTCCCGTCTGCTGGCACTGCTCCCTGCAAGGCAGCGGCCTGGGCAGCTGCCAAGTATGCCGAAATAGCCTCCTAGTTTTTCTTTCAGCGGCTTATTTTTCCCTACTTTGCCTCATTTTCTTAGGAGTAGTCATCTGTAAGATGCATTGATTAAAATAATTTATTAAAATAACTGCTCACACATTTCATTATTTAAAGTGACAGATTGCACTGTATTATTCCAGCATAGATAGACACTGAGGCATTCTGGGCTCCAGTAATTGCAGCACTCTCATCAATTTACCATGTGCGTATCAAAAATTAATCAAAGCACTTAGAGAAGGAATCAGTCTTAATAGTCACCGTCAGAATAGCTGCCTTAGCGCTCTACAGGCGAAGGTGGAAGAGGCTGTCAGGGCTCTCCGGCCTTCAGTAGGCAGGACCTGACATCCTCTGAGATGTCTCTTGTCCCTGCGCCTGGTGGAGCCGCTGCCGACGCGTCCTTGGGGAGGGAGCGTTTCCAGAGSGCACCGCAGTCTCTGAAAGGTCCTTGCCCACCTTTGACCATGCTTAGATAAGAGACCATAATTGCTGGTGGGATTGCCTGGTGTGCCAGGCCTTACGTGCGTGGAAGCGCAGGCTTTGGAAGCAAACCAGACCGGATCCTACAGGAAATGCAGTTGAATATTCAGCAGTTGAATATTGTTCAGGCTTTTCAAGGTTTCCTTTTAAGTAGGAAACCTTAATTCTTTTGGTAATGTGGCGATGGGAGTTGATGGGAGTTGGGTGACAAAGCACTGGAACAGGCTGCCCAGAGAGGTTGTGGAGTCTCCTTCTTTGGAGATCTTTAAAACCCGCTTGGATGCAGCCCTGTGCCACGTGCTCTAGGTGACCCTGYGTGAGCAGGGGGGTTGGACTCGATGACCTCTGAGGTCCCTTCCAACCTTCGGCATTCTATGAAATTTTACTGAATAAGGAGAAAAATGTTATTTCAGTAGCTTTAATTAAAGAGGAAATTAAAGGAGAAGAAAAAGTTTTTGAAGGTTATATAAGTGAAAGGGTTGGACTACAAAAATCAGGGAGTGGACCATTATGCCCCCAGTTGAAGGCCTAAGCCTTTCGCCAGGCCCTKTGTGTGAAGGAATCGCTGTGCCAGGTGAAGCGGGATTATTTAGGGGCTCTGTTATTTAATTACACCATTAAAAATGAGCCTCTGCCATCCTGTAGTAGCCCCGTTTTTCTGTGCCTCCCATTACAGGCAATATAAGATATTGTGATTGCGAAACCTACTCAAAGGCAGCGGCTGTTTCTGCTGTTCGATGCCAGTGCCCATTCCAGGTAACACGAACCACTTCACTGAGGTGGCTGTTGACAGAGAACAGYGTGTGAGCCTTTGTTTCCTGGCACCTACTCTGGGCAGTTAGTTGGTGTTCCCGTCTCTGACACACTTAGCTTATTTTGAAAAGATGTCGCTCGTGTATTCGCCGGGCAAGAGCCGTGAACGCTGCTGTATCCCCAGCGTGATCTCACAGTGCTCTTTTCCATTTGGTTGTGTTTTGTTCTCCTCTTCGGTAGGTGACTCCTCGCAGGAGGGCAAATCGGGCTCAGGAGACAAGATCAAGAAACGTGTGAAAACTCCCTACTCGCTCAAGCGGTGGCGTCCGTCCACGTGGGTCATCTCCACGGAGCCGCTGCCCTGCGAGGTCAACAACAACGGGCGGGAGCGGGGAGCCCAGCCCAAGTCCAGCACCGCCGTGTACCTCGCGGAAGGAGGCGCCGCCACCACCATGGTGTCCAAGGACACAGGAGTGAACTGCCTGTGAAAYGCGCTCCAAGCCCAGCAATGACCTTTTTTTTGCATTATTTGAAACCAGATGTGCAGAAGACATTTGAAAAAACTGCTTTCTCCTCCTGTCAGCAGCCCCCTACCAAGGACTCGCTTTAAATAGATTTCAGCTATGCAGAAAATTTTTAGCTTATGCTTCCATATTTTTTTATTTTGTTTTATTTTTTGGATGTTTTTGCACTTTTATTTAGTATCGCTAAAGTTAAGTCTGTCTGTTTTGACCACAGAATATATATATGTGTATCAAAAATGTGGTCGCAAAATATTTTTTTAAAAAAAAAAGTAACAAAAAAAGTATTGCTGATAATCAGTTTGGACCAGTTTGTTAAGGTCACTAAGATCATAAGCAGACTATAAGACAGGTTTGACTGCAGTGGTGTCTTGTAACCATGTTTTGATTTCTGTGCACAAGCTAGTGTGTATATTTCTATGTTAAAATGTATTCTCTTTTGAACTTTTATTTTCCTTGTGTCATGTTGAAATGTGCAATAGTCTCTAGTTCACAGTATGCTTTCTGGAGAAGTGTGTTTCCTGACCTGCCCCGTTCCCTCTCTGTGAGTGTTTGTTCATTCTTCCCTGACAGTGGAGCCGTCGGCCGGTCCTGGCGGGGCCCTTTGCACAGCGGAGCCGGCTCGGAGCAGCTGCCTGGACCACGTTGTGCCCGGAGGTGACAGTGCATGCAGCTTCCCGACGGGAAAGGGCTCTTCAAAAGGAGCTACAAAAAAGGAAGCGAGCTCAGTACCTTTCCTTTAATCCTTCCAAATCTAAATGTGTTTCCTAGTAGATGCTAGCCTGTGAAGTTTGGAATAACAAAACATTGAACAAATGTAAGGAAACCATGTCAGCCGTTTTTCCATTTTCTTTTGTGTGCAGTTTCAGCCTATGTATTTATGTAAATCCTTATTTAGATCACTGAAAATGTACATTGAAAAAATACATTTTTATCAGCTATGTAAATGACTGTCGTACTGAAAAGCTCTAGTGAAGACAGTTGCTAAGATATTTTGTTTACATGGAGAACACAAAATCATGAATCCTGATTGGCACAAACTGTTCTGTGATGAGTCACAAATCCTGCAGGATTTACCTCCTACCAAAAGTGCGAGGTAAAATCAGCCCAATTACTTTTGCAAGTAGCTGCATCCCAAATGCTCCTGTTGCAGAGCTATAACTCTTCTTCCCATCAGAGCCTCTCATTCATCTTGTTAAAATATAATGCATGCTTTTAAACTTCACGGTTGTGAGTGTCTTGGGGTGAGAGCTCTTTGCTTTTTCTGGTTAGAAGTTTCTCTCTGCTTGTGTAAACACTCCACACAGTGACTTCAGGTGTCAGTGATCAGGAACRTAGCGTCTGTTGAGAAAAATTGTTTTTGCATCTTCTCAAGTAAACGTTATTATCATAACATTATTGCAGCAATCGTTTTTGCTGTCTACTGAGAGAAAATTAATATCTTTACTGGCCAAACCCTCCTTCTGTCTAAAGCATTTAGCTGGAGAAATCATCTTTCAGATTAAAAAAAAMAAAACAAAAAACCTTCCTTAAAGCCAATTTACATTAGAAGTAAATTGTGCCAGCTCTATTCTTTACATCTCATGACCTACCTGGCATATATAATAAATGCTTTCCTACACCTGTTTCTTACTGTTGCCCAACACCTCTGTTCATACCCGATTTCTGTGATTTCCCATCTTGATGTTCCTTAAGTAACTCTTAGATTCTCCTAGATGTCTCCAAGAGGTCAAGCTGTATGACCAGGCTCAGGTTCAGCGTAGCTGTGGGAACACAGGCCAGGACAGGGTTTGAGCTCGCCGGGGTTTCATCTCTGTTGTTCCTCAGGTAATACCTTTCTTGTGCTCCGAGGCAGAACTCTGCTATATCCTCATGGGTAAATACAGCTCCACGTCCCCTCTCCAGAGGGGCAGCCCAGCTCTGCTTCTGTTTTGAATTCCCTGTGCAGTTGGTCACCCGCTGCCGTCCCGCAGCCCGTGCCGGAGCTGCCGCTGGCTCCGCTGCCCGCCGGGCCTGGCTGCCCTTGCTGCCCTGGCCCTTTGTGCTGCTGGCCCTGCCTCTCRTCCCGCTGGGTCTGCGTTTGAATGCCCGGGCCAGAACCCTGTTCCGTGGGGATCGCTGTCTCGTACACGTTAAAGGTGCTTCACTCCTTTTCCATACACTTTTGTCTTTGTCTAACTTGTACCTCCTAAGAGCATTGCAGAATGTGGCCTGAAAAGCACATTTAGGACACGTTTGTCTAATTTGAAGTACTCTGGGGAAAGAAAAGTTATTTACTCCAGCTTTTGCCTTTTTTTTTTTTTTTTTCTGCTAACACATTTTTACACCAATCTTCTAGCCTTTCTTTTCAGGCCAGTTCTTTGTGAGAAATTGAACTTTGTATGCTCAATGCAATCAAAAGATGCTACTAAAGTGAGGTATCAGATGGGAAGGTTCTTCTGCAGTTCTGCAGTTTTTCTTAAAGATTCTCCCACACAAGGATTTAATTTTCCTTATCTTTGTCTATCACTTGATGAAAAAGCCTTTGGGAAGAAATGTAATAAAAGCAAAACAAAAGATGATCTAATCTACTTGGATAAGTATAATTTGAAATTTGATAAGTAGAATTTGACATGAGAGCAAGGTATACTACTTTATCCCCAAATACCTTAGATAAGCTGTTTGTTTTTAAAGGTCAATCAAAATGAACTCTGAAGTAGGTACCAACATATTCTGATTCTGCCGCAACCTGATGAGATCAGATTAGCAGTTTGTTTTTAATGGTTCATTTAGTATTGCCCTTTTTTGCTCAGTCTTTACTGAATATATTCTCTATAAATTGAATGATCCTGAATTGTACCTCGCAAAGGTACCTTGGGGAATCATCCTTAAATGAACAAAAGACTTTGTAGCCTGTAAGAGAATTCTACAAATTGGATACGTATGGATAATTGATTAATACCTGTTATCTGCTGAATTGATTAATATCTGTTATCTGCTGGGGGGAGGGAGGAATGTGTTTTATTTCTTTGGTTTTTTATTATTTAAGAAAAGAAAAAAGGTTAGTTATGGAAGTTGGTAGTTTTCTATCAATTTCCAGTGTATATTTCAGAAAAGATAAATAGTGTAAATAACTGTTCCACTGTCAAATGGGCAACTGTAGAGTGCTTGCTATGGTAATTTATAATGTATAATTCAAGTAAAACATTACAGCAAGCATTTGTGATGTCTGTGTACATAAGCCAAAATCCAAAACCTTACTGATTTTAGAAAAATCCCATGATAACGGAAACTAAAAGACTTGCTTGGGCTAAAGATGTTACCTGATTTTCTGTTTCCTGTAACAGAGATAGTCATCAATGCTTCAGTTTTTAGAATCGGAATTCTAACCATGTGTCTGCATAGTGAAATGTATTTTCTTCTAAAGTTGGTATTTACAACTCAGATTATCTGGAACACTTCCCCTGGATTTGCTTGCAATGGTCTGTAGCTTCACACATTAAACAGTAATAAAAAATGTCATTCTTGGAAGTCCCAAAGCACTTAAATGCATAGCTAAAGGTAAACTAATGCGCAGTTTAAAAGGAAAACGATTGGGATTTTCATCAATACAGTGTTCTGAAACACTGAACAATCAATACAGTGTTCTGAAACAAGGGACATTTCAATTGAAAATCATGTTTATCTGTGTTTTGCTGTCTTATTGCAGTTCACTTCAGGGTTCTTGGTGTCTATAACATTACGTGACTTTCAAAGGCAACACAAATTTCATACTTTGTGAGTCTGTTAGGGTCAAAAGCCAGTGTAAGACGGGATGCTGGCAGGTGTCAGGGATAAATACAAATTATAAATATCATTAGAAAATACATATCTTCTTGCCTAGCAGSTCTTTGCAGAGCACATTTTTAATCCTAGCTGCCTGAGGAAGGAGTATAAGGGGGTTCTGTGTATGTGTGCAAGAGAATATTGTGCAAAATTTAGTAATAATGGCTAGGTATTTAGAAAATACACGTTGTGTGCATTATCCATGGCATAGTGTCAGTGTTAGGCTGATTTTTAGGGTKATGGTTCCTGCTGTAAAGATGCCCCTACAGTACTTTTGAGAGTACTATTAAAAAGCAACAGATTCCATTAGTGTAATATTACTGGATTTATGATGAGATGATAATTTTCTTCTTTGGGAAATGCTCAGAAGATCACAGCTATTTTGCCCTTGAAATGTTATGAGAAGCTCTAGTCTAATTAAAGAGAATTTTTAAATTCACATGTGTAGTCATTGCAGGAGAAATGTCTTGTGGTGTGCTATAATTTTTACTTGTATAAAAATGATAAAGTTCCCATTGCTGAATCAGAGAATGTTATTTAAGCACTAAAATAGTAAATGTCAAGCATAACTGCCTCAATGTCTGTTAAGTTTGAAAATCTGGAACCATTTTTCAAAGAAGTTTGAGAAAGGATCGATTAGACTAGGTGTCTAATCCAGTGTTGGATTACAGAATCACAGAAGGGTTGAGGTTGGAAGGGACCTCTAGAGATCATCTAGCCCAACCATCCTGCTCCAGCAGGGACAAATGATGGACTGGAGGACTCAATACTTCAGACAAATTTGGCTTATTTGAATTTTGCTATCTGATCTGCCACAGCCCATTTGAATAGATAAATATATTAAATAACCTCCGGAATTCTTCAGTCTGGTAATTTTCACAGGGCTTTTGTTCTGTAGTAGCTATGGTCGCGTGTGGTTGCCATTTCAACGTCAGGGTTTTAGGCTGTTAATGCAATGCGGGGAGGTTACTCTTTAGGCTTGCCCATTGCCACACAAAGCTGCCGTGGCCTCGCGGCTCTGCCGGCGCTGCGGGGCCGGCACTCACAACTGGTGCTGCGGCGCCCGGAGCGCTGGGCTGGGAGCAGGACTGCAGCGGGACGATGCCAGGTAGGGCCCCCCGCGCACCGCAGCCCTGAGCTGCCAGCCTGCGCTCAGCTCGCCCATGATTCACTTAATATAGAAGTCCTTTTTATGGTAATTCCTGTTTATTTCACTGGGGCTGAATCTGCTGTTCTGCAAAATAGCCAGGAACCGGCTGGCGTTCCGTTGGTTTCTAATATTGTCAGATTAATGGTGTAGAGCTGCAAGTCACTCGTTTAACTGTAAGACACAGGTCGTGTTTCAACAGATTCGTAACTGTCACAGTAAGAGAGATTTCTTCCAGGCTCTTGCAGGCTCCTGCAGCGGCGTTGCTGGAGCGAAGCCTCTTGCATGCTCACTCTTTTGCAATAGAAATTGTTACTTTTTATAGCTAATTAGTTTTAAGGCCTCCCCAAAGTCACCTTTTGTAGCCCATTCTTGTTTTTAGAGGAAGCAGAGAGTCGTGAGGTTATTTTCTCGAGCACTTGTTTCACTTTTTGYGCCTCAGGCCTGTATCCTGACACATCCCTCTTCAATCCCGTTCACTGAGGAGCAAGGGAAACGGTTAAACGCGGGCAGCCCTTTCGGAACAGTTGCGCACGCAAAGAAAGGGGCAAGTCCAAGCTACAGCTGACTTTCATTTGTCACTTTCCCGACCCGCTCTGATTTGTGGCTCTTCTCTCTTTCACAATGTTGAAATGTATTTAAAAGGTTTGTATGTACTGTTTCTTGTCTGCTTTTTGTCTCTAGGGGAAAGCGTGCTCTATTCACATTTATATAAGCTGGAATCCTATTTTACAATCACTGTTCATTATTTTCCCCCAGAATGCAGTACAAAAGGAAAATGAGCATGGCAAAGACTGATTTCCAGGGCTTGGTCTTCTGTAAAAGCTGAAATACGGAGATGTGAAACTGCCATTTTCTTTCATAAAGACTGTAAAAAGAGCGATGATTTCTGAGCGAGCATTTCTGGGGAGGAGGGGGAGAAGCCCTAGAATACAGAGTCTCATCAGAACCCTTTTCTTAACGGGTATTTTATTTTTCCTCTCAAGTAACAGAGGAGATATCATGTATGAATTTATAAATAATTTCTTTCAGTTATTTCTTTTATATAAGCTGCCCAATACCCTTGCTATGCTGTATAAGTTGTGTTTCATGGAACAGTGTGAGTATGAAATAAAAAGCTAATTTTTGTTTTTTAATCATCCGTGGATGCCACTATGAAAGCTGACATTGTTGAAGCCACTACAGAGTTTTCTATGAATACTTGTAAGAATTGCTTTGTTATATATAAACCTAAATAAAGAGATTGTATTGATACAGAGACATTGGATAAGAACATTTAAAAGGCTATTCTTTAGGTCTAAAAGAAATGGCTTGCTGTAAAATGGTGCATTATTCCATTTATTAAAGATCGTATTAATGACAAGAAGCCTGGTGTCCCGTGGGTTTTTCATGGTGCTCCCRGAGGAAAACTCCCCTCGGGGCTGCGTTTTGTGGGCTCCAGGATGAGGAGCTACTTCGTTAGCGAGGGTTGAGTAGGACCTTGAGACACCTGTGATGGACGGGACATGGCACCGACCATGGCACCGAGAGCTGTGACTGCAACAACTCGGGCTGCGTGGAAGCAGCACCTCTGCCTGCCCTGCTCCCCATCACCCCTGGGGGGCTGCTTATACTGGCRACTAAGCGCAGGTTGTGGGCCTTACAAAGTGCCCGTGTAGGAAAGAAAAAAAGGGGGAGAGGCCTCGTGTGGTTGCAGATCTTAACTGAAGGCTTTTCCCCTTGGCTTTTGGTTTGGCTGAACTTGGATGATGACAGCCTGTGCATGGGAGGAGCAGCACGACCACAGCCTGGGCGCCCACGAGAACACGCAGCTACCGCGCAGTGAGGACTCTTCTCCAGCTTCCCTTCTCCC